TTAGACAGGTATTACTGCTTAGTATTATAGGGGTTGTGTGTTAAATTATTGTGGCCGCGGCCGCGTTGGACAGGTGCCCGTTTTACACAGTTAAATTATATAGAAAAAACGCAAGGGGGGAAATGGAAAGTGGCCGTTTGTACAGGTGGCCGTCTTATAGAGGTGACCGTCAGGGCAGGTTCGACTGTAGATCTATGGGAACAATATAATATTGTTACTGTTAGCCGTATTAATGCCTTTGATGAGGGTTTGCAGCTCTGAAATGGTTGGGAATACTACAGTCCAAGATCCTATAGGTTATCTACATCATGTACATGTACCAGATCTAAAGAATCTTTGCTTCCGTGAAGTATAAAAATAGGCCTACACAGTCTCTGACATTACTGCGACCAGTGACCAAGACAGAAAACGGAAGCGGCTAACAAATGTGACGTCACAGTTTCCACGTTTGTCAACAAAATGGCGTCCATAGTGAAAATGGCCATGGAGTTTGTTTACACGGTAAGTTGTTGATTCACTTCGAAATTAGAAAAATAACGGAGTAAGTGGAGAAAGCATTATTGCATTTGATTATTTAGGTCCTTAGTTGCTATTTCGAGAAGATGCGCGGACAGTGTAGATATAGAGTCTAGCAGTTTAAATGTTATTACACTGCGATACATCTAATCAGTCTAATCTCAGCTAGGCTAGGCCGCTAGGCTAGCCTCGCCTAGACTAGAGCCTAGACTAGAGATCTAGACTAGGGCAGGCCCTGCCCCTAGTCTAGATGTACATTTTTATTTGTGATGATGATCTCTGCTTGCATGCCTTCTGACATTTTAATTGTTGCTTTGTTTTACATCAATGTGACAGACAATGATTAGATCATGATGTCACTTGTTGACTTGTACTTTTGTACTATCATGACTGAGAAAGAGACGACAGAGTATGAGTAGTGAGTAGTAAGTTAGTAGTAGAAGAGGGTAGGCCTAGCCTAATGTTTACTTTCTCGCATTTAAATTCCAGGGGAGCTCACCAGTAACGAGCGATCACTCCGAACTCTATGAGAATATTAGCCTATACTCAATGGCCATCGAAATCAGTACAGAAGGCCTTCTATAGCCAGTATTTCTAGTCCTGTGGGGTTTTAACCGGAAGAGGGCTCTTATCGATCGATGACCCACTTACGTCGCCCGTGAGCTTGTGCCGCGGGGCGCCGGGGTCAGACACCGGTCACGCGAGCGTGCCGCGGCAGTCAGGGAAACACCTCATCTTTTACAGCAAACTGATACGATCAATGACAAGTGTTACAATCACAAGAATAATCCCATTATAATCTCCTCGTCGGTTGATCAGAGATGCTGAGATTGGAAGTTTCACCAAATCGAATAACTTTTCCAGAGTTTTCCAGATTTCACACCTATTATGAATGAACTTGCGAACAGCTGCTTCCAGCTATCGTTCGAAAGAGGAAAAAAATGGGATAATTTCCGAGTATTTTTTTTATTCAGTTGCTCTCAAATTTCTCCCTCTGGTAGGACAATGGTTCAAATACCACCAAATATGATTATTTACATCAGGAAACAATGTTTGGTGTAAGAATATTAGAATTAGATCGTTTGAAAAGTGAGGAAAGGTGTTTGCATTGAAAGATGAAAGTCCTATTTCCTGAATATCCTTTCGAGTCCCTCAAGTGTCTAACTGGGTCAAAATGCTCATATTTCATTGGATCATGAACGTCTCAACCGATGCTCTGTTATCTCTACCAACGCCGTTGCAAAACAATGCAGTAAGTTCCAGATGGACACACAGGCACAAGCAGACTGACACTCACACATTTTAGCACACAGATGGAGACCCCGCACTAAATGAAATGCGTGGCCTGCGGGGGACGACGACTGATCAGGGACCAGCTGTGGAGCGCCGCGTGGGATTGCGCATATCGGGAAAACATTTATCAGAGACCAGAATCTTAAGGGTTAAGTACTAGAGATGATGAAATTGCCGTGTTTTACCATTTTACGTTGGCCTTTCTACTCCAGCGCACAGTTTTAAATATATCCAGTCAGGGATGCATAGATTTTCATCTAGTCTAGATCTAGATCTAGATCTAGGCGTGGCCGGAATTAAACGCAAGAAAGTAAACCATTGCCGAATAGAGGGCTAGGGTCACTAGACTAGAGTAGAGGGGCATCCCGGTGCGGCCGTATCAAGTTTACATCTCGTGACTGTAATTTTTCGCTTGAAGACTTACCGTGACCCTGATTGGCTCAATTTGAGCCCATCATCCAATGAACAAATTTGTTACTGGCAGTGGACTCTAGTACTAGATTCTAGATCTATCAGATTTTTTCAGCAGCCAAGTGTTTGACATTGTGTGTACTTTTGGATCAAGGTGTGGCCGAGATCACTTGATGCGGCCGTTGTGAGCAAGGCCTGCGGCCGTGGATTCTGAGTGCGGCATTTACCAAATTTTGTGTGCGGCCATTAGCTGTTGGTGTTAAATATATTTTAAAAAAATGATGATACTGATGTTAATTAGCAATGCCCACCGAGCGCGTTTTGTTCTGTCGATTTTTGGCCCCGCCGCGGGGGTGTTTCGTGGGACGTACTAACGCAAAGGTTGTTGTCTTCAACTCGCTCTCACGCCGCTTCTCATGAATGGATATGAATGAAACTTGGCAGCCAATCAGAAAAGAGGTAAATCTCGTAGTATGCAGTTTGACAACTTTGTTCCCATCCAAGAAGCAGTCGAAAACGTTTGCGAAAGTGGTTGATGTGGTGCGCTTTGATTTGAAGATTTTTTGGAGCCTTGATTTGTCAAACTGACTGATACATTGTACACGATTTTTCTTTATAAATTCCCTTAAAATTTCATGAATCTGTGTTTAGCGGTTTTAGCGTAATCTTTAAAAATGTGGGAGTAACTAAGGGAAAAGCAGCATTGCCATTTGCGCGTGCTGGGTAAACGACCGGTGGCTGTGAAATTTCCTCTGAGTGACGTCATCAGCCATCGGTTGCTACGAACGAGGCCCCGCTTATTTATGTGAACCGGAAAGGGGGGGAAGGATACTTGAAAACTAAACGGGGGCCTTGATAACTTGCATTTGTGTTGCATTTTAGTCACAATACGATAGAGATGTAGTCAGTTTTATTGCTTGATTGCATGACAGAAAAATAGAAACAGAAAAGCTAACATCTAAGAAGTGATATACATGACATTGTGTTTGCGTTATAATCATAATGAAAGCCTACTCCCCCCTCTTGGGAAAGCACACAATTGGACTCGTCCTGTTTGCTCTGTTTAGTCCAGTCTGGGAAGATAGTCCCGTTTATTCATTGTTATCGTTCACGCGTGTGTGCGTGAGTGCGAGCACGTGTGTGTGTGAGTGTGTCTGTGTGTGTATGAGAGAGAGAGGGAGAGGGAGAGGGAGAGGGAGGGAGAGAGAGAGAGAGAGAGAGAGAGAGAGAGAGAGAGAGAGAGAGAGAGAGAGAGAGAGAGAGAGAGAGAGAGAGAGAGAGAGAGAGAGGGAGGGAGGGAGGGAGGGAGGGAGGGAGGGAGGGAGGGAGGGAGGGAGGGAGTAAATATCTGTTACATTTATAGTTGTAGCCTACACATGCGAAATATTCCCAGGACTTGTAGACTATAATAATATTATCTAAACGCATCTTAATCTACCACACAATAGGACACTGTCCAACAATGGATATATATTATATACAGAGACGATCTTATTTTCTATTACAAAGTGTGCATGCTTTTACTAGTACTTAGAGAACTGGATTTATTAGACTAATAAATTCAGCTCTCTACTTAAATTTTTGTGATGAATTGATCCAGTGCATTGCTTAGCAAGGAGGAATCTTTTAGGTTGCCAAGCTTCATTCAAATATCATGACTTTGGGAGAAGATATGACTGATAATCTTTGTAAATCTGTAAAGAATGCCACTTTTTTTACCTGTAAATGTCTTTACAACTCAAAAAGTAGGATCGATATTAAAAATCTGACAGCATGAATAGATTCTGCATTAAAAACTGTACTAGACTGCCAAGTTTCATTAACATACTCCATGAAATAGGCGAGCTATGACAAATATATTGTCTCAAAACACATAGAAAACCGCCACATTTTTACCTATAAACGTCTTCAGAACTCAAAAAGTTGGATAGCTATGAGAAATCTGAAAGCAGGACTAGATTCTGCACTAGCAAATGTAATGGGCTGCCAAATTTCATTTAAATACTCTGAGAAATGAGTGAGTTAGGATGAATATTGTCTCAAAACTCACCAAAGTCAAAGAACGTCCCATATTTTAGGTTTTTTTCATTACATAAAAGTCTATAAAAAACTAATTGATTAAAAAATTAGTAACTTTTTTGTTTATAGATGGATTTGAAAAATTCAAAAAGCTCCATTCTCTGTGGAGATACAGCTACAAAATGCACCTATTTGCAAACACTTTCTGACAAAAAAAAGTTTTTCGTGGTCATTGCTATTGTTAATAAGATGATGATTGCCGCTTCAATTGTTTTGTAAGATATTATAATGTGTAAATTTAGAAAGCAATTTCATGACAAAACATCACTGGGCGTAAAAAAAAAGGATAAATTTAAAATAATGAACAAAAATTAATGTAACAAAATACAACTCAACTCCTCTCAAATCAATTGAACAAGAAAAGCAGTGCTAAGACGACATGTCTTACCTTTAATTGCAAAACCAGGAAAGAAGAAGTGTCAGCTGAAATTAAGTGAAACTCCAGACGGAATTAAAAATCCAACAAGGAAGGTAAAACAATGCAAACATTTTTTCTACAAATGCCATACATTTGGCTGGATTTAACTTAAGAACTGAACGTTGAACGTGGTTAAAACATCACTAAGGCAAGGCCTTAGTTCTAGCTAGTAATGTCAACAGCAAAAATTGAAGTGCAAAACCAAAATTCGCTGCCAGGGAGAGGGGGGGGGGGGGGGGTGAGGGAAGGAGGGGAAGAGGGGGGTGTTTGTTGTGTTTTTTTACACCCAAAAGTTGCAATTGAAATTCAACTTTTTCAGCTCTCTCTTGCTTAGTCTCTGCAAGTTGCTGTGCTTAACACATATGATGTGAAACCCAACTTTTGCATGTTTCACATTCGATCTTCAGGAGTTCTGGTTTGTCCTTTGAGTTGTTGCAGCCTTTGCATACATTTTTGGGCATCTGAGTCATCATTTCCATGAGGCTGTCGTCACTGTTGTTACCTTCATTGTCAATCTCATATTCATCCTCACTGTTTTCGTCCAACACCATGTCATCATCAGTACTTGTTGTCTCTTCATGAGTCATCACGCGTTGCCCTTTTGTTTGCATTCTTTCTTAGAGTAAAGAACTTTTTCTTGTTTCGTTTTGGCCATTTCCTTAGCACTTCTTTCCCTCAGCTGTTTCAATTTCTCTGCTTTTCTTGCTTTCTTCTCTGCCATTTCTCCCTCCATTGCTCTTTCCTCAGCCGCATTGCCACCTTTCTTTGTTGCTTTCTTTCCTGT